TAAGACTGTATTCTAGAATACAGTTTGGGAAAATGCAGTCTGTGGACAAAATTCTGCCTGCTGCTTACTTCAGTAAATAAAGGTTTACTGAAACACAGCCATTCGTTTATTTATGGTCCATGGCAGCTTCCCCGCTACAACGTCTGAGTTGCGAATACTTGTGACAGAGACCGTATAGCCCACACAACCTAAAACATTTACTATTTAGCTCTTTACTGAAAAAAATGTGCCTACTTCTAGTGTAGAATCTTGATTAAATTTAGGTTCAATTTTTGGCAAACATCCTTAAATATATTCATGAGGAAGAACATATTGCCTATTTGTCTTTTTGTAATAATGATTGCCTGGATTTATTAATTCACCAGGAGTTACAAAACGCTGACGTTTTAATTCTTTTTTCAGTTATTGGCTGAAATACCTCCATAAAGATGAAATTTCCCGAATTAAATAGGTGGATTTCTGGGAGTTCCCTGGTCGTCTAGTGGCTAAGACTCCACTCTCCCAACACAGGATGCCCGGGTTCAATCCCTGGTCAGGAAACTAGATCCCACATGCCGCAGCTAAAGATCCCGCACTGACAATGAAGATCCCTCGTGCTGTATCTAAGACCAGGCGTAGCCAAATAACTGAATAAATATTTTGTAAAAAATAGATTTATTTCTTATAAGAAATTGAGTTCTTATAAGAAAGAATACTTCTTGATTCCTGTGTTCATCACTTATTGGTTTTCAGCATTATCCAACGATAAATTTTGTCATCATGAACTCCTGGATTTTAAATGCATTTGATATATTTCAATACACTGCAGTTGTTATTTATATTAATTCTCAAATTGTCTTTTGGCCAGTGAAAGTCTCCTCAGCTTGCCTCTGCAGTCCTTCTGAAATGAACTCAGCAGCCTCATATCTCCCTCAACTTTGACATGAAAGCTGTTCTTTGCCCATCATCTTGCAATAGATACATATATCAAATCATTATATTGTACACCTAAAACTAATACAATGTTCTATGTCAATTATATCTCAATTTTTAAAAAAAGAAAGAAAAGGTCAAGAGTAAGCTACAGGGACTTCCCTGGTGGTGCAGTGGTTAAGAATCCGCCTTCCAATGCAGGGGACAGGGGTTCGAGCCCTGGTCCGGGAAGATTCCACATGCCGCGGGAGCAACTAAGCCCGTGCACCACAACTAGTGAGCCCGCACACCGCAGCTACTGAAGTCCGCGTGCCTAGAAGCCGTGCTCTGCAGCAAGAGAAGCCACCACAATGAGAAGCCTGCACACTGCAACGAAGAGTAGCCCCCGCGTGCCACAACTAGAGAAAGCCCACGTGCAGCAAAAAAGACCCAACGCAGCCAAGAGAAAAAGAAATACTTGATCTACACCTACATTTCATACAACTTATAGTTGAAAAGGCAGGTTCACATGCCCATGTGCTCCAACACACATGTAAGTTTTCCTGTGACTGCACTGAGACCCTGCTTACTCTGTAAGCTTGTGGCTCTGGACTTCTGTCCTGGTGGTTTTCTTCTGAGCACCTAGCATGCTCTGTAATGATGTCTGCCTTCGTCACCATCTTTTAAAGGTGGCTGAAGCTAATATGGCAAAAGCTTGGCATTAATTCTGGAAGGTGGTTGCATGGCTGTTTATTTTACTGCTTGCTGTGCAGTTCTCATGGTTTAAAATATTTTGTAATGTTTTGTTTGGAGGTTTTCAAAGAAAGACTAAACAGTAGACTCAACGTCCTCTCCCAGAGTCCTCAGAAGCAAGAGATAAGGACAAGACTTGATTGAGTTCTCTCAAGATGAAATCTGGAATGAGGACTGGGAAAATTGAGAAGCCAAACTCACGTCACTCCAGCCCCACTCACTACCAAATAAATGAGGGAAACCAGAGAATTGTAAAAACATCTGCCAGATTTCTGAGAGGCTAATTCATACTCAGCTGGGGAAGGAGTCCCTTGGATTTAGAAGACAGAATAGGAGCCAGAAATGATGAAAGCTGATTGCAAATAGGATGAATGTGGAAAAGTAAATATACCAAGAATGTCAAAAACTTGTCATCTCACTTGTAATTCCACTGAACTCTTATCTTACCTCTTGGATGTCTTCCAGATAGGCTGGTTAAAAAAATAAACTGTTCCATTTCTCACTGCATTTATTGGGCACTTCAGATTACCTTGGAGCCATCAATGGACTCATTCACCTTTCCTCTGGATATTGAAGGATGGGGATGGAAAATCTGTCCCCAGGAAGGGCAGATGGACCAAGTAAGGCAACTGGATGCTGGGCAAGAGGGATCACCTCAGGAGACTACAGTATGCTCTTTCCTGACCTGAGTAGGGCTGTTGAGTAGAGTGGTCACAGACAGACTATACGCAGTCTCTATGGCCCTGGGGGCTCAGTTTCCAAAGCTCCTCATTAGCCACATGTGTACTGTCATTACTTCCTCCAGGCAGCTTATATCCTTAAGGAACACAGATGCTAGAAGGGAGAGCTCCTGCATTGCTGACTTCCTGACCCTGAGAGGACAGACAGGTATATGTCATTTTCTTCCCACATCTCTCACATCCAGGGTATCGCATTATTGGATTCTCAGGTCTAACCTTAAGGGACCTGATGGCCTCCTCCTAAGACCAACTCCCAGCCTTCTCTGAGCCAGAGATTATCACTAAAGGACTAGGGAAGAGTGGTTTAAGTCTCCATAGGGACAGAGACTCAGGGATGCAAGGAATGTATCATGGGATCATTGTCACACAGTCACTTAAGAAAATTTTCTCCTTTCTTAATTAAAGTCCCTACATGAATGAAGTTAGTAGGAAAGAGGTAGCAAGGAAACCAATTTACTAGTTACTTGGGCAGGCTTTTCGAGGTTGCCTGAAAAATAGACATAAACCAACAATCTTAAAGAAAGCACAAAAGAGCACTAATCATAAAGGAAGTGACTGATAAACTGATTGCATTAATACTGAGAAACCCTGAGGGATATACAGCAACTCCCTATTATTGCAACTTTTCTCTAAGTGTAAAAGTAGTTCAATATAAAATTTTAAAAAATCAAAATATGGCACTCCATACTCATCAAAATGGCCAAACTGAAAAGACAATGTGAAACATTGGCAAGAGACTGGGAATGTAAATTGGTGCAACTACTTTGGAAAATTGTTTGGTAGTTTTGAATAAATACGCACTCCTAAACACATACCCAACAAAATTATGTACAATTGTGAATCAAAAAACATGTACAATAATGTTTGTGGCAGAGCCATTTGTAAAATATCCCAGCTATAAACAGATAAAATGTTCAAAACAGTTGAATGATAAAGTGTGCATATTCATTCTATAGAAAACTACGCAACAATCAAAATAAACTCCTGCTAAAGGCAACAGCAAAAATCAATCTTGAAAATGTAATGTTGAGCAGAAGAAGCCAGGCACAAATGATAACATATGGTATCAGGCACAGAGTGCACCTAACCTTAAATACACTAAAAATCATTGAATTTTACACTTCGAATGGGTGAACTTTTGTGGTATGTGAATTATATCTCAATAAAGTTGTTTTTAAAATACATGACTCCAGGGAATTCCCTGGCAGTCCAGTGGTTAGCACTCAGCACTCACTGCCAGGGCCCAGGTTCGATCCCTGGTTGGGGAACTAAGATTCCACAAGCCTTGCAGCGTGGCCAAAAAAAAAAGACACAAATGAACTTATTTAGGTAACATAAACGGACTCACAGACATAGAAAACAAACTCATGGTTACCAAAGGGAAAAGGGGTGAGGAAGGGATAAATTAGGAGTTTGGGATTAACAGAGGCAAACTACTATATATAGGATGGACAAACAACAAGGTCCTACTGTATAGCACACGGAACTATATTCAATATCCTATAATAAACCATAATGGAAAAGAATATGAAAAAGAATATGTATACATATCTATAACTGAATCACTTTACACCAGAAACGAACACAACGTTGTAAATCAACTATAGTTTGACTTAAAAAATTAAAAAGACATGATTCCATAGAGTACCTACATTCTGGTGGTAGGAATCAGAGTGATTAGTAATGGAAAGAGCATTAAAGAATGATTCTCAGGTGCCTATAATATTCTATACCTTTTTTTTTGCCGTACACGGACCTCTCACTGTCATGGCCTCTCCCGTTGCGGAGCACAGGCTCCGGACGTGCAGGTTCAGCGGCCATGGCTCACGGGCCCAGCCGCTCCGCAGCATGTGGGATCTTCCTGGACCAGGGCACGAACCCGTGTCCCCTGCATCAGCAGGCGGACTCTCAACCACTGCGCCACCAGGGAAGCCCTAATATTCTATATCTTAACCAGAGTGTACAGCAGTTAATATAGAAGTGTTCTACCTTGTAAAAATTCATGCAGTTGTACATTCTTCTACATGTTAAATGTAAACAAAATGTGTTGGAAAAAGTTCAGAATTCCAAGGAGAATTTCACCATCTGCAATCTTCATGGGAAGGTTCATTACAGACTTTGTGCAGGCAATGGTAGGTTAGGACACATGAAATATAGAGGTACACAGATGATTTGTAAGCACAACTTAAGAGCTTTATCCAATAGGTAAACTTCTATTAAACATACATCCCTGTACCAAATAATGTTTCACTTTTGTTACCATATATAAAACTTTATTTTTAAAAACCGACCATCTGTGGACTCTGTTGATTAGTGACTAGTCAATTAGGAGTGAAAAAAGAAAAACAAAAACCTCCCTACCACCACCACACACACAAAACAAAGGAACAAACACATGGAAAACATGTTGGCTTAAAACATTAGGTGTTTATTTTTCTCAAGTAACAAGTCTTTTTTTTTTTTTTTTTTTTTTTTTTTTTTTTTTGCGGTACTTGGGCCTCTCACTGTTGTGGCCTCTCCCGTTGCAGAGCACAGGCTCCGGACGCGCAGGCTCAGTGGCCATGGCTCACGGGCCCAGCTGCTCTGCGGCATGTGGGATCTTCCCGGACTGGGGCACGAACCTGTGTCCCCTGCATCGGCAGGCAGACTCTCAACCACTGCGCCACCAGGGAAGCCCAAGTAACAAGTCTTGAAGATATTAAAACATTTTCCCTTCAGCGTTATCACATATCTTCTAAGGGATAATGAATGAATAAAGGATTTTTCACAGTCATTGCATAACTTAGGTTTCTTCCATATATGCATTACTTAGAGGCTTTCTCACATTCTTCACAACCAGTTCTTTTCACTTAGCATTTGGTTGTATGCCTTAAAGATTGAGAGTTCACTGAAAGCTACTTTACATGGATATCATTAAAAGGGGATTTATTGAGCATGAGTTCTCTCATGACGCCGAAGGGGAAAGGATTTACTGAAACCTTGCCCACAGACATTGCATTTATAGGGTTTTTCTTTAGTATGTATTCTTTTGTGCACGTTGAGATTACACTTTACACTAAAGGATTTTCCGCAATGATTACACTCGTAGGGTTTCTCTCCAGTGTGAATTCTCATGTGTACTGTAAGGGACACATGCCTGCTAAAAGCTTTTCCACACTCACTGCACTTAAAAGGTTTCTTGTCCCTGGTATGGATTTTCATATGCCTCCCATAAGATAAGAGACCATGGAAGGTTTTCCCACATTCCTTACATTCATGTTTCATTTTCATGTGAATTTTCTTGTGCAAAATAAGGAAAGATTTCACTCTGAAGTCTTTTCCACATTGATTACATGTAAAGGGTTTTTCTCCAGTGTGAATTCTCACATGTTCTTTAAGACATGAACGATCCCTGAAAGCCTTCCCACAGTCATTGCACTTACAGGGTTTCTCTCCAGTATGAATTTTCTTGTGCGTGATAAGGTTGGAGCTCAGCCTAAAAGCTTTCCCACATTGATCACACTTGAAAGGTTTCTCTCCAGTATGTATCCGCAGGTGTACCTTAAGAGATGACTGACTACTCAGGGCTTTACCACAATGGCTACATTCAACGGATTTCTCTCCAGTGTGGATTCTCTCATGTCTTTTAAAATATGGGAGAATACTGAAAGTTTTCCCACAGTCATTGCACGTATAGGGTTTCTCTCCAGTATGTGTTATCTGGTGTATGGCAAGCCTATAGCTTCTACTGAAGGTTTTGGTGCATTGATCACATTTGTAGGGTTTTTCTTCTGAATGAGTCCCTGAATGTTGTCTGAGAAGTGAGCTATCTCGGAAGGTTTTTCCACAGTCACGGCACTCATAGGGCTTCTCCCCGGTATGAATTCTCTTGTGACGCGTAAGGTAAGAGCTTGAGCTGTAGGCTTTCCCACACTGATCACACTTATACGGTTTTTCTCCAGTGTGGATTCTCATGTGCAACTTAATGGATGAATGGCTCTGTAATACTTTACCACACTCATTACACTCAAAAGGTTTCTCTCTAGAGTGAGTTTTTTCATCCTTCTTAAGGTGTGAGATTGAATTTACTTTCCCCAAGTCACTGCGTTCATGGGATGTCTCTTCTGTATGTTGTCTCTTGTGCCCAGCTAAGTTAGAACTCCTGAGGAAGGCATTCTCGTCCTTTTTACATTCATAAGATTTTTCCCGAGGAAGAATTCCCTCAGATGGCTTAAGATGTGAAGAATCTCTAAGGGCTTTTGCAGAGTCAAGGTATCGATGGGCTTTCTTGCTAGGGTAAATTTTATTCTGAGTAATGTTAAATTTCACACTCAAGGCTTCAACAATTTCACTGCATTGAATGGGATTGCCTCCAAGACTTTGTTCCTATTGATTAAAATATGAGTTACAATCACAGGATTTATCATGTTCATGACTGAGAATCTCCCCTGACATAAATTCTGATACATCTCATGAGCACTTTATTAGCATGAGAGTTTCACATTTTCTTAGTGAATATGCAGTTTCTGACTGAGTTTATCAGCTTGAATAAGCTGATTGCTCTACCAGATGGCTTCACTGGAGTCTCTTCAACAGATTTAAGATAAAATTGCCTTAGAGTGAGTATCTTAAACATTTAACAACTAATCCCATTATGCAATTATTTACCTTGGGGATTCTCTGTAACCATTTTTGGAAATAAGTTATGAGTTTCCTTCAAATGAATACTTAAGAGAATCTTCTGCTTTCTATTGGTGAAATGAGTGTGATATCACTCATATTACCCTCTAGTCCTTTTCTATCTTATAGAATTCTGGACTTCTAATGTGAGGACAAGAAATTATCCCATGTGACTCTTACCTTCTTGCCATTGAGCGTATATTTCTCCAAAATACCTTGTTTTTGCCGTTGTTGTTTGGTTTTAAGGAGAATCAGCTCATCTGAACAAAGTGGGAAAAAGTTTTGGAAAAGACATGGTGACAGTATGCTGACAAAAAGCAGGTAATGCCCCAACCCAATCTGAAACAAATGGGAAACATAACCTCAAGTTCCTAGAGTATAAAATGGTGGGATGTTTAGCACAGGGAACAGATCTTGTAGGCAAGACATTCATATATGCCTGGTGCTCACCCGAACAGGTGTCTTGGTGAATTCTTCTCTCTACTATGTCCATTTCATCTTCCTGCTCCATCTGGGTGATGAGAGGAGGCTTGCTGAGTTGATGTCCTATTATGGGGAAAGGTACATATGAGAGGACCATGCAGTATACAACAAAAACTACCATCAAACTGTGACAACAACTTGTTCTTTGAGGTTCTGAAGATAGGCAGTTGTGACTTTATAAGCAGCAAAATGACAAAATTCTAACAGAGAAAGCAAAAGTAAAGCATTTCAGAGATCAACTTTCCATAAATGGAAAATTGTCTTTCCAAGAGAAATTACTGAACCTTGGTAAGTGAACAGGATCTGTGACATTTTAATTTAAGAATATTCCCATCCCGGGCTTCCCTGGTGGCGCAGTGGTTGAGAGTCCGCCTGTCAATGCAGGGGACACGGGTTCGTGCCCCGGTCCAGGAAGATCCCACATGCTGCAGAGCAGCTGGGCCCGTGAGCCATGGCCGCCAAGCCTGCGTGTCCGGAGCCTGCGTGTCCGGAGCCTGCGCGTCCAGAGCCTGTGCTCCGCAACGGGAGGCCACAACAGTAAGAGGCCCGCGTACCGCAAAAAAAAAAAAGACGGGAAATAAGTGTTGGTAAGAATGTGGAGAATTTGGAACCTGCATACGTTGCTGAAGGGAATGTAAAATGATACAGCCAGTTTGGAAAACAGTTTGGCAGCTCCTCAAAATCTTAAGTATAAAGTTACCAAATGACCCAACAATTTTACTCTTAGGCATATACCCAAGATAAAGGACAACATATGTCCACACAAAAACTTGTATGTGAGTGTTTGTAGCAGCACTGTTCATAACAGCAAGTGTCAAAAGCCAAATGTCCATCAACTGATGAATGGATAAACAAAATGTTGTATATCTATGCAAGAGAATATTATTCAGCAATGAATAGGATAGAAGTACTGACATATGCTACAACAGGGATGAACCTTGAAAACATTATGCTAAGTGAAAAAATAAATCACAAAAGACCACATTTGGTATGATTCCATTAATATGAAATGCTGAATAGGGAAACCTGTAGAAAAGGAAAGTAGATTAGTTGTTGCCAGGGGCTGCAGGCAGGGAGGAATCAAACACCCTATAGGTGGAGCAACAAAAATGTTATGGAATTAGACAGTGGTGACGGTTGCACAGCTATATGAATGTACTAGAAAAAAAAACCCATTGTTTTGTACACTTCAAATGAGTAAATTATGGTATGAGAACTATGTCTCAATATGGCAATTTTTCTTAAAAGTAAAAGCCTACAGGGCTTCCCTGGTGGCGCAGTGGTTGAGAGTCCGCCTGCCGATGCAGGGGACACGGGTTCGTGCCCCGGTCCGGGAAGATCCCACATGCCGCGGAGCGGCTGGGCCCGTGAGCCATGGCTGCTGAGCCTGCACGTCCAGAGCCTGTGCTCCACAACTGGAGAGGCCACAACAGTGAGGGGCCCGCGTACCGCAAAAAAAAAAAAAAAAAAAGTAAAAGCCTACAAAAAAAACTCCTATAGTCTGTGTCACAAGTCGATTGGGTCTTACTCACCCAAGAAATCCATGCTCAAATTCAGTAAATAAATGAAGCGATTCTGTTAGTCTTACCCAGTGAAACCAAGTTTCTATAGTTCTCTAGCATCACATCTCTGTGCAGTTTTCTCTGAGATGAATTCAGCAATGCCCACTCCTCCTGGGTGAAGTCCACGGCCACATCCTCAAAGGTTATTGAGTTCTAAAATGACAACACATCCTGTCTCAACCAGCCACCAACCCCACCAATGTTGCTGGGGAGAGGATCATGCACCACAGCACTGGAAATGAAACACCTGTTTCACAGTAAATTCAAGATTCTGATGAGGGCTCTTCACTTAACCCAGGATTCAGTTCTCAGAATCTTTCCTTCTCTATTCATGCTCACGCCTTAAGGAATTTCAACCAGCCTCAAGAATTTAAGGCCTCTCTAACACATGATGAAATGTATCTCTCCACTCCTAGCCTGAAAGCTTTCATAATCGTACTCTCTTCTATCTGCAGGGTTAATCAGAGACCTGAACACGTTGCAAGAATGAGAGAAATACTTCCTAAATGAAAAAATTATTTCCCACAGAGTGGCCATACATTTTTGAGGCTAAGACAGTCTTATATTCTTCTTTTACTTTTTACTTCTTTTACTAACAGCACTAAGCAGGAGAGATGCCTGAAAAAAAACTGTAAGTAGTAAGGTAATAGAAGAATTTTTTTTTTGGAAGTCCCTTAACCACCATCAGAAGTTTCAAAATGCAGGATGGGTTATGAGGTTCCAGAGTACTGGAAGGAGATGCATTCACCCCAGGGGACAGGAATGTATTTTAGGAGAAAGAAAAAAAATTATGACTCACTTGTAACCCAGAGTGGAAGTTTTCCATCTCTGTGATCCTCTCATGGGCACAGGAAGGGTCTAGGACAGGCAGAGCTAGAGGAGAGGGTGACATGAGTTTCTAGGCACATACATAGTCTCAACTTTCCTAGCAAGGGAAGTTGAAAGTCAGAAAGGTTGAGTTGTTACCCTTCCCAGCTTTATAAAACAAATGGATGGGATAAGGAGATGCCACCCCGAAATTTTCTTCCCTCTCCCCACCACGCACATACGCCCTTCCTCTAAAATCCCAAAGGGCACTGAATCCGACATGAGCAAATTCTGGGGCACCAAGTGTTCACAGAGCTCCATACCCACCTCCTTTCATTTCAGCCCCTTCTTCCCAGTCCCCTGTGGCTACTCAACTCCCTTATTCTGTGCCCACTTAATCCTGGTAAAGTGAATCTACCCTAGGAACTCACCACATATAGTGGACAGATGTGGGGCTGCCATTCTGCAAGTCCGTAAGTAGTAACTATGATCAGACAGCAACCAGGAGAACAAGGATGCTCCTCTTACTGCTTCTATGATCCACTCCAGGCAGGGCTCTGAAATAAAGAAATACTAACAAGAGAATTCACAAGCTTTCTGTTTCTCCTTTGCACTTAGGACAGTTACATCACCATGCATCCAATATGTGTTCCTTTCAGATTCAAGCTGTCTGTGATCCTGGGTCATTGTTTTGCACGCCATGTACAACCTCAAAGCAATATAGTGGGTATTCTTGACCTTCTCCATTCCTAATGTACATTCTCCACATTATGAAACCACATTACCCACCACTTATCAAAAATTCCATCTCCACTGAGGCACCTCACTGGCTTCTCCCCTGAATTAGCACCAACATATAGACCTGACCCATTAAAGTCACTGTCACCTGACTCCCATTCTTCATTTTAACTCCCATCCCTGCTCGGATTGAAGATGATTCCATGTTCTTGGGCATAAACTAGCAAACGTCCATGGCTTCCACATCTCAACCAAACACCTTAAATTTATCATCACCTTGCTCTCTACGAAGGCAAAAAGTCAGACATTCCACTTTCTGAACACAGTAGGTATACTTCCATCTTGTTCACTTTTTTGCCTGTATTGCATCTGCTTTCCTACCTCATAGAAGCTTCCAAGCCATCCATACTTCCACCATATTGCTATTTATAATCCTCATTTCCTTGGCACTACATATGAAATGCCATGGCCCATCCCTTCAATAATATATTTTCTAAAACCTCAAATTCCTCTCTGAGGAATCATAACACCTGCCTTAGATAATTCCAACCATCTGTCTATCCTGCCTGGGTAATTCCTATCCAATAAGTTATACGGGAAGCACTAAAACTTTGAGTCCACATACTCTAAATGGGGCTTCAACACTAAAGGAAAAGCCCAACAGGCAATTTAAACTCCTAGTTATCCAAAGACCTTTCCACAATTCCTCCAAGATTTTGAATCTCATATGGTCTCAACCTTATCTCTTCAATAAATGATCTTACATCTTACTTTGCAGAGAAACTCTTAACAATGAAAGAAGGATTCCTCATTTTCTTGCCACTAGTACAAAACTAGTTCCACAGCATCATGGTTTCTTTCACTTTGCAAACAAGATGTGTCTGCCTTCTTATCTAACGTCAATATCTGCTACTTTGCTACGTCATGTTTCCCACCTTTGGCACATTTTGAGCTGGATACTTCTTTGTTATGGGGGTACCATCCTATCACTGTAGGATGCTTAGTAGCATCCGTGGACTCTATCCAGTAGTATCCCCTCTAGTTGTGAAAGGGATATTGCCAAATGTCCCCTAGAGGGCAAAATTTCCCCTTTAAGAACCACTGGTCTAATCCCTTCCTACCTTCTCAGAAAGCCTGCTTTATTAATTATTCCTTTGCTCTTTTCCATCACCATCAACTTCTACTCCACTGTACTTATACTTCTAACATTGAAACATAATCAAAGATGTCCCATCTTACAACAAAGTCCTACTGTATAGCACAGAGAACTGTATTCAATATCCTATGATAAACCCTAATGCAAAAGATTAAAAAAAAAAAGGAATGTTAAAAAAAAATGAAGAGAAAGTGCATGGGCTTGGAGACAGGTATTTTCCTTACTAATTTTTTTTTCCTTTTTCCTTTGTAATTTTTCTAAAGTTTGAGAGTTATCTTAAAATAAGTGATTGCATAGTTTTACATCTTCTAAATATTGCCTTGTATTTTCTAATACATATTGCCTTGCAACTCTTCTTTGTAAATAAAATGTTCTTGTTCATCTGAAAAAAATTAAAAATCTCCCCCTTTTTTTTTTTTGCAGTACACGGGTCTCTCTCTCACTGCTGTGGCCTCTCCCGTTGCGGAGCACAGGCTCCGGACGCGCAGGCTCAGCGGCCATGGCTCACGGGCCCAGCTCCGCGGCATGTGGGATCTTCCCGGACCGGGGCACGAACCCGTGTCCCCTGCATCGGCAGGCGGACTCTCAACCACTGCGCCACCAGGGAAGCCCAAAATCTCCCATCTTGAAACAAATTCATGCCTTTGGTTCCCCCTTAGCCCTACAGTTACTGCTCAGTCCCTCTTCCTTTTCTCCATCCAGCTTCTGGAAAGACTGGTCTACCCTCTCATTCTCCCCATTTCCTCACCTCCCTTAATTACACTCCAAACTGGTTTCTGTCTCACCACCACCTCACTGACACTGCTCTGCCAAGACTGCCAAGGATTTAAGAGGATTAATCCAGTGAATGCCATCCTGTCTTTGACTTAGTTCGCTCATCAGAAAAATTCTATCACTATTTTCTTCTATAAATCAGCCTCTGTTCTGGGCTTTTGTTACCATAATCTCCCGGTTGGCATCCGTAAGGCCAGCAGGTCCGGGGAAGGGCCCAGGGAGTCAGACGGATCCCCCGCCAGGGTGGTTAATGCAGCCGGACACACGAACGGCATCCGCCCAGGACTTTGCACTCGGCCCTGGTCTTCCCGCTCCCCGAGGGGCGGAACCAACGGCTCTGAGGCTGATGCAACCGCCCGCTCCCCGAGGGGCGGGACCAACGGCTCTGAGGCTGATGCAACCGCCCGCTCCCCGAGGGGCGGGACCAACGGCTCTGAAGCTGATGCAACCGACATCCGACATTGCCGTAACATCCAAAAGATTACCAAAAAAGGGGGTTGCTTCACACAGCAAGCGTCTCCCCTGCGTCCACCCCTATAAATCTTGTTCGCGCCCGCACCCAGGCGCGACTTCTCTGGCCCCTTTCTCTCGGACCAGTGAACCTCGCCCGGGAGCGTTCCCAAATAAAGCTTGTTTAAGCTCTCCTCCGTTTTTGGTGCCGTTCCTTACAGCATCTTATTTCTCTGGCCACTGTCTTTCAGGATCATTGGCCAGCTCCTCTCCCACTGTTGACTGTCCTCAAGGCTCAGTCCTGGCCCTTATCTCTCACCTTATTCTGTGTATTCCACATCTATGCATTCCCTTGAAATTGAATTCCATCTCGGGACTTCCCTGGTGGCGCAGCGGAAGACTCCGCTCCCAATGCAGAGGGCCCGGGTTAGATTCCCTGGTCAGGGAACTAGATCCCACATGCATGCCACAACTAAGAGTTCGTCTGCCACACTAAGGAGCCCAGGTGCCGCAACTAAGACCCGGTGCAACCAAATAAATATTAAAAATAAATAAATTCCATCTCTATGCTCATAACACCCAAATCTGCAGTCTGAGAACTCAAATCTGAGCTTAAGACCCATGTATCCTGCTGCCTTTTCAACTATGGCCATCTAAACGTTTTGCAGGCACCTTGGATGAAGCTTATCAGACTGAACTTATCTCTTCCCCAGAACTTTTCACTTTAAGCATCTGCACTCTCAGTAAGGAGTACTAATGCTCCAGGTATTCAGAGCAGGCAGAAGGCATCACTGGTATCACACCCTTTACCCCACCCCACAGCTGTAATTAATTAAAACTGAAGATTAATTATTTGATAAGCACTTCTCCCCTCCTGTGGGCTGGACTCAACTAAAACCCACAGAATCCTTGTCTCCTCTCCCCTCAGCCAGAAACAGCCATTGAAATTTTAAAATATGGGCACACTTCCTCCCCCATCCCCCAAAGGCAGCAATCACCTGAAACCTAAAACTATTCCTTTGTAGGCTTCACCCTACCCCACAGCAGAAACTGACAGGGACTAATGCAAGCCACACCCTCTCTCCACCCAACTCCAGTCATTTCAATGGTGCTCTCTCCAGAGAAAATCTCAACTACTAAATTCTTCCCCGTTCCCTGCCACACATGGATAATTTTTCCTTTGTCATTTTTCTGTCCATTTAAATGTCATTTCCTCAGAATCACCTTTATTGTGAGCCCCATATTTAATATAAAGCCAATCTTATTGTCTGAGTCTCCCTATGTAGCCCTCAGAATTTGTAATTATATATTTATTTCTTTGCTTATATTTTTCTCTTCCACTAGATTGTAATGTCCAAGAGAATGGCCTTTTCTTATTAAAACCCTATACCCAGTCACTAGCACATCACTAGCCACATCGTAAAGTGTACAGCATTCTGGGTGCAGAAATGAATGAGTATGGATTCCACCTTCAATCTATCCCCCCAGATCATCACTTTGTTCTACTTTGTAGCCACCAAGAGTCTAGATGACCATCACTCATTCCTAAATCCTACTACTAACCCTTAATCTTTTCTCCACCAGTCAAGCTTGTCCTCTGTACTCCATCCTCACCCAGCATCCTCATGGTGCAGCTGGCTCTACTAAACACAAATCTAATTGTTGATGCCCCGGCTCACAATGGCTTCCAACCAGCATTAAATTAAATTAAACCCTGAACTTGCTTTCCAGATTACAAGTCATGTGGCTGAGACTCTTGCAATCTAGTTCACTTTCCTCCTCTCTTGCTTCTTTTCTCAGCCATGTCCTGTCTTGCTCACATCCTGGTACAATCCAGGGATTTTAGCTGCTTCAGGGATTTTACATGTGCAGAGAGTCCTGCTAAAATGTTCTCCCCATTCCTGGCCCCATCACAGCCTAGCCCACTGCCTGTCTGTATCCTAGTCATTTCTAAGACTGGATTTTGGCTTCAATAAATTTTTTTTTCCCAAGAGGCTTTATGAGCCCTTAGACTGAGTCCTCCATTGACATGCTCTCATTTAAAATAACTCAGGGATTTCTCTGGTGGTCCAATGGTTAACACTCTCTGCTCCCAATGCAGGGGGCATGGATTCCACCCCTGGTCAGGGAACTATGATCTCACATGCCATGGGCAGGGCCAAATGATAATTTAAAAAATAAAATAACTCAAAACCAGCTATCATTTACAAGTAGGCTTGATGGTTGGACTGTAAACTCCAGGGGACCTAACCCTTATAAATTTTGTTTGCCATTGTACCCGTGGGCCTGAGCAAACAGGAACAGGCTCGATGTAGGCATGTAATAAATATTTGTGGACCACTGACAGGAGACAAAAACTCACCCGGGGAATTTTTCAGTGTGCACACACTAAATGATAAGAATAGGGGACTTCCCTGGTGGCGCAGTGGTTAAGAGTCCGCCTGCCAATGCAGGGGACACAGGTTCAAGCACTGGTCCAGGAAGATCCCACGTGCGGCAGAGCAACTAAGCCCGTGCGCCACAACTACTGAGCCTGTGCTCTAGAGAGCCCATGAGCCACAACTACTGAAGCCTGTGCACTTAGAGCCTGGCTCTGCAAAAAGAGAAGCCACCACAATGAGAAGCCCGCACACCGCCACGAAGACCCAACGCAGCCAAAATAATAAGAATAAATAAATAATAAATTTTTAAAAATAATAAATGATAATCACTAAAATATATGTAATACATGATAAAAACAAGAAGCTTGGGCTTCCCTGGTGGCGCAGTGGTTGAGAGTCCGCCTGCCGATGCAGGGGACACGGGTTCGTGCCCCGGTCCGGGAAGATCCCACATGCCGCGGAGCGGCTGGGCCCGTGAGCCATGGCCACTGAGCCTGAGCGTCCGGAGACTGTGCTCCACAACGGAAGAGGCCACAACAGTGAGAGGCCCGCGTACCGCAAAAAAACAAAAAAACAAAAAAAAACAAGAAGCTTGTTAGTGAGTTTTTAAAATAATGTGAATTCTATTTAAGTAAAGGAAGCATCAAATTCTGTAAGAGAATACTCTTTTATAACCAAATTACTTGCACTTAAAAGTTGATGACTAATTTGCTTTTATTATGTTTTATATGGTTTGGGGAAAAGCAAATATTCAATTAACACAGCAGGAGGTAAAACTCATTCCATACAAAGTCAATTGAACTCTCATTTCAGGTAGTACCTTAATGAAATTTGCATCACTTTTTAAAGAATGTCTTGACTTTCAAGCGTTGGGGGTTGTCAGGTTAGCTGAGCTCGCTTGAAAAGAACAAAGCTGACCTTAATAGTAGAACTCATAATTAAAAGGTAATAAATTGCCCATCCTGACACCCTGTGAACAAAGCCTTTGTGGATGAAAAACTGCAGTCTGCCTCTACAAGGATGAAGTAACTAGCCACTGCAGTGGCTGACCTTCAATACACCCTGAAAGGAGTTCGGGGCAGAGCTGGGGAATGAGCGCTCTGTGCTCTGGGAAAAACAGGCAGAACAGGTCTTCAGACAGTTAGATATTCTTCAGGAGAAGATTTTATGAGACCAATTCCTTGCATCTTCTTATATCTAGAAAAGGACTAAAATCATTGATAGAGACATCTGTTCCTCATGACTAGTAGCAAACCTCTGCCAACCTGTGTGCTTCATTGCACGTGTTCCCCTTCACCCAAATCACATGTATACTGACCTCCCCCTTACCTTTATGGGACCAGTTCCTCAGAGCTATCTGAGAGGCTGTCTCCTAGGCTATAGTCCTCATTTTACCCCAAATAAAACCTAACTCACAACTCGCACGTTGTGCACTTTTTTCAGTCGACGCTTACCCAACATAAATAACTGAAAAATTTCATTTCACAAGATACCTCAATCTCAAATGCACCCGGATGCCCACAGTCAAGAGAAAATGTTCTGCAGGGTAAAAATTATCTTACAACGTGAAGGGCAGTGGGGAGCCCCTGCCACAAGCTCTTATTCGTTACTCACCGAAAGACACAGAAATCCACAGTCAGCGAGGTAAGAGCTTGGACCAGGCTGATGTCCACATACTTCTCAGCTACAGCAAGCTTTCTGTCTGGAGAAATGCACAAGGTCACTGACTTTTATCTATGATAACTATGACAACTGAAAGGACTAAAGGCTTAAAAGACACACCCTATTCTCCCTGACTAGA